CTCGGCGCCGCCCGGGGCGCCCCGGCCCCGCACCCCACATTGCCTGTACCCTGCGCTCGACCCCAGAGCCGGCACCCGACCCAGGTGGGCCCCCGCACCCGACCGCCTACGGGCCTGAGCCTGGGGAGGCGAGGTCAGCCTGCCGGGACCTGGGACCCTCTGGGAACCCAGCCAAGGCCGCCCGCTGGGCGCCCAGGGCTGGGGGACAGCAGCGTCTGGTGAGGGGCCACCCATGTCCTCAGGATCCTGACCGAGGCGCCAAAGAGCGTGGAGGAAAAGCCAAGTTTGGAAACAAACCAAACTGTTTTCCTGGGTCCTCTGCGGGGGGCAGTTGAGGACTTTCCTCTGTCCAGTTTCCCCACTTGGCTAACAATAAATTTGCAAAACTAGAAAATGTTTAAAGTAGCGGCCTGTGTGCAGGTGGGGGACAGAGAGAGACCCCCACCTCAGAGCCCCCCCCCAGGACTCCTGTGCCCCACAGCCAGAGTTCCTGGGGAGGGCTGGGGGAGGGGCTGGAAGGCTTCCCGAATGTGACACTCTGCTGGGGGGAAAGTGTCCACCTCCTTCCCATGGCCCCTTCCCCCAGGGCCCCTGCACCCACCTGGAGGGACCGGTCTCACCTTGGACTCAAGGCCTCTCCTCCAGGGAAAGGACCTTCGGATCCAGCTGAGCCAGGCTGGGCCTATCCAACAAGACCTTCAGACTGAGAGGGGGCTGGCCCCTGGCACAGGGGCAGACAGGGGACCTGCCCGGCCGGCTCGCCCAGTCCTGCAGTCCCTCTACCGTTATTGTTGGCTCTTGGCTACCACCATCAAGGCCACGCCCTGCCTTCTGGGGGAGTAGGGGGGCCTGAGCCCCGCGGAACTGAGCTCTGGACACCCAGCCAAGCCCCTCCTGCTCAGGCACCTCTCACCCTGAGGGTCCTTCTTGTTACTGGGAGGGCTGGCGTGTCCCCCAAGTGTCTGGAGTAGAGGAAGTTTTCCCGCTGCTGTCCCCCCAGACCAAGACCCACCTGGCTTTACCCCACCTCAGCATTCCAGACCCTCAGGTATTGGCAGGTGACAAGAGGGCAGGGGGACAGATGGCAGGGGCACCTGCCAGCAAGACTTATGAAAGGAGTGAAAGAACAGAGCCTTACACACCGGGCCAGGTGCCCCGGGGGGCCTCGCCCACTGCTGTCCCACCTGGGATCTGCCCCACGCCCATCAAGCCACCGAACAGGCCCAATTGGGCGGCACTACCTTTTGTAAACATTACGTGGTTCTCATTAAGCAGGATTCTGGTCCCAAGTATTTCCACTGGCCCTTGGAGAGCTGTGGCCAGGGCTCAGCCAGCACACCTTGCGACAGGGTGCCCCTGGGAGAGGGTTCCAGGTCTGGCCAGCAGGCCTCCGGTGCCAGGTCCTCCTTGGAGGAGGGTGGAGACCAGGGTCAGCTGGAGGTCAGGCCAGCTCTGTCAGCAGGACTACACATGGGGCAAGGAATCACATTCAGGGGACAGGCAAGGCCAAGCCGTGGCTTTTATTAATTCTGCTTCCATGAAAATAAATAGTCCTAACACACATTGTTTAGTAAAACATGAAGAACTGGGAGGGGGAGCAGGTACCAAGTTGGAATAATACTGAACTGGGGACCAGTGGCATGCACAACCCCCCAGGAGGCCCATGCCCCAGCTCCTCCCCGCTAGGGCTCCCCCAGCTCTGGGCTAACCGGGAAGGGTTGCGGGGAGGGGAGGTTAAGGCACAGGTGAGGGGCCATCGGCAGACCGGAAGGGTTGTCCGCAACCCTCCCCAGTCAGTGCAGCAGTGAGTGGTTTCTGGGGGAGTCCTAGCAAATGCCCCTCCTCACAGCTGGGAAGGGCCCCAGCCTTCACCCTGCAGCCACTGGAGAGTACAGAGCAGTGTGGGGGCCTCAGTCGGCCCCAGGGGCCCGCTTCACTGGGCAGGAGGTTGGGGGGCCTGGCCCTCGATGCCGGGACTCCTGGGGGCTAGGGCAGGCCCAGCAGGGACGCTCAGCACGGGGGCAGGCCGGGTGGGTGCTGCGGTGGGGACGCGGCGGTGGGGCGGGCAGGTGTGTGCATGCGCAGGGCGTCAGGCGGGAAGGCCACGTTGGAGCAGAAGAGGCCCAGTAGCAGCTGGCGCTGGCACTCCTCCCACTTGGCCAGAGCGTCCCCAAGCGAGAGGTTGTTGCGCATCCAGCCGGGCAGCACCTCGCCGTAGGTGGCGCAGGACAGTGGCACAGAGGGCAGAGACTTGGCGCGGCGCAGCTCCATCTGCTCCGACAGCCTGCAGCCGGGAGAGCCACGGGAGAGGTCGCTTGGAAGGGGCCTAGAGGCTGCGGACGCGGGAATCACAGGCAGGAGGGGTGGCTTACCTGGCGGACAGGCGGCCACCCAGCTTTCTCTTGGCACGCATCACCAAGTACTGGCAGATACTGCCCGTCTGCTCCTTCATCCAGCGGATGTCCTCAGGGACATCGGGTAGCCACTCCAGCAAGCTGGGGATGGGGGAACATGTCCTCAGGGCAAAGTCAGGCCCACCCGATCCCCAGCCATGTCTGCCTTCAGGGACCCTGGTTGTGCCCCTGCCCCGTACCGGATGGTGAAGGACACAGCGCTCTCCAGCGGCAGCGTGTAGGGCACCATCATGGCCGTGGCCAAGCGCACAGGTAACATGTTGGAGAAGGTAGTCAACAGGTCCTTGGGCTCCACGCAGGCCTCCAGCAGGGCTGTGGGTCAGGTGGAAGAGGGAGTTTGGCGGCCGGTGGGGAAGGGAGAGCCCGGACTTCTGGTGGTGCCTTCACCCTTCCTCCCCTGCCCTCCCCGCACATACCTTCATTGACCCTGGCGGGCAGGTGCTCCAGGATATAATCCTCCCCTGGCGGCTGCAGCTGGGTCTCCACTCGGGCCCTTCCCGAGGCCACCAAGGCCTCTTCGGCATCCTCATCCTCGGGGGCATGGGGCTGGGTGGGGGGCAGCGCCATCAGTGGGTTGGGCCGGTTCAGGAGGCCTAGGTGGGAGAGGGATGCAAGATCAGCGGGGCATGAGGTGATAGCTGGCCCACCTTGCCTCTGGGAGGACCCTGAGTCCACGCACCGTTGCGCCGCAGGAAGCGGAGCGCGTCCCTGTAGCCCTGCTTGCACATCTCGCGCAGCACCTGCGTGGGGCGGTGGACAAGGTGAAGCAGGGGTGCCCACATGCCCTGTTCTGCAGCCTGGAGCCCCTCCAGACACTCCTCCACTCCGACGAACACAGCTGTCCCGGATTCTGGGAGGGAAGGGGCTGGACAGACTGCCCCTCGCCCCTCACCCCTTGGAAATGTGGGATGGACCATGGTGCTCTACTCCAAGCCTCAAGAGAGGCTGTGAGGTCCCGCACCCAACCTGGGCCCCCAGCAGAGGCTGTGCGAGGCCCATCTTGGCCCAGGACGCAGGGAGAGGCAGCGTGGCCCTGCAGGGGCAGCTCACCAAGGGCTCTGGCGGGAAGAGGGCCTTGGAGAGGCGGTAGAGGTTACGCATGTTGAACTGGATGCTGGTGTTGGTGACCCGCAGCTCGTGGATGTTGGTGGAGCTGTCCTGCGGGCAGATGTCACTCTCACCCGAGAAGGGGGAAACGGTGATGGTGTTCTTGAGCTCGTACAGTGGCAGGTTGTCTGAGATACCACCGTCCACGTACCGCTGCAGGCCAACCCAGACCCACCGTGAGAGGCCTGCAGGTCCTGCTGACCACAGCCCCCGGCCCCCAGCTGCTATCTTGGGTGGGCCTCTCACCCACTAGGCACTGAGCACGTGGCTAGACAGGGGGTCAAGAGGTGTGTCTTCCGAGGCAGGCTGCCTCTTGAGTAACTAAGTGGGGAAGTGAGGCAACAGACAGCAGGGAGAGTGAGGGCCCCGGACGGGCTTGGGGGTGGGGAGTGCTACTGAGAAGCCTTCCTCCTCCACCCATTGTCCCACTGCCCAGAGGCTGAGTCTCACCCCACAGAAGGTGCCCCCAGGTTCCACCAGGCAGGGCTACTCACCACGCCCTGGAGGGAGGGAGGGATGAGGCCGCAGTAGACAGGGATGAAGGTGCTGCAGACATTGGCCTGTGGGGTGGGGACCGAGAGGGCAGTGAGCAAGGCTCAGGGCTTGGACCCCAGCACCAACCCGGCCCCACTGGGCCCACCTGGATGAGCTCCTCCTTGGAGGTGAAGTGGGATATGATGACATTCTCCCCGTCCGAGACGCGGGTCAGGGAGATGCCCAGGCGTCCATTGGCCTGCTCATAGCTGTCGGCGGGCAATGTCTTCAGCAGGCAGTTTCGGATGGTCTTCACCAGATTGAAAGAGGGGTGCAGTGGGCCCAGGAACCGCTTCCGGGCCTCCTTAGAGACCTCGATGATGTTGGCACCAGCCTCACCTGGGCAGCAAGGCCAGGAGGCAGGGGTCAGCAATGCTGGGCTTAGTGCTTAGCACCTCTGCCCCCACCCCCGCTCCATGCCTAGGTACTGCAGCATATGAAGGTGGCACCCTGGTTGCCAAAATCAGGGCCTGGTCCCCAATTGGGACTTTTGCCACCTACCTCTAGGGGGAGGGAGGCAGGCCACCACTCACAAGATGGCAGGGAGCCAGGGCTGGCCAACTGGCCCTGTCCTCTGCCTGCTATTTCTCAACTGTCTGCCCTGTGAGTCACTGGGTCCAGTGTGGTGTGGCAGCCCGCCCAGGTGCGGTGAGGGCCATGGCTCAACCCCTGACCAGCCTCAGCCTTCACCCACTTGGTCAGGGCCAGTCCAGCACAGGGCACTCTAGGCCTGGGGCGTGGGGTCAGAAGCAGCGAGGGGCACATTAACTGTGTCCCCCAGGAGGACAAAGCCAGGGCTCAGAGCAGCCTCTGAGAGTGGTCAGGAGCAGGAGGGTCTTGGGAAGGGACTGAGGGCCGTGGGCTCTCCGGGGACCAGCACTTTCCCGGCCACCTCAACTGTACCACCCCTTTTGCAACCTGCCATATACCATGGTGGCCCAGCTGCCTGAAACTCCGTATGACAGAAAGCTCTATGGGGGGGGGGGGGAAGCGTTCTGAACTGTGTCCTTAACTTGGGTTCCTGGGCACCCATGGGGGCCTGGCACTCCATAGGGTGGATAGGATGGGAAGTGGGCAGGACCACAGCAGTGACCCTTCCACCTGTTCCAAGAATGGAGAACTGCGTTCCTCGTACCACACCCCTCAGTGCAGCGTACCACACCCCTCAGTGCAGAGGTTCCAGCAAGGGGGCAGGCAGAACCCTGCTGAGCAGAGCACCTAAGGTCCTGGTGACGCTTGGGTCACCTTGGCGGCCCTGGTGCGGCTGGGGGTGGGCAGCAGTCCCGGCCTGCTGGAGGACCCAGGGCCTGTAAACATCAGAAGACGTCCAGAAGAGTGTGGCCGGCGGGGCCATCCAGCACACCACACCCCTGGCCAGAGGACCCCTGCCCACCGGCTGCAATGGTGCACTAGCAGCGCCTGGTCACCCACCGCAGAGTGGGCACAGGGTGGATCACAGCTGTGACCAGGCCGCAGCGGGTCATGCAAGGTGGGGAGGGCCCGGCTGGGCTTCTACCGGGGCTCGGGGGCAGGCCCCAGGGCGAGACACGCGCCCGCGGCCACGTCCAGGCCGGTAGCGGTCTGGAACGGCGTGGTCCCAGGACACAACGACCGCTGGCACCCGGTGCGACCCGACTCCCGCAGCCCCGCCCCGGGTCCGTCCTCCACTGGAGGCGCTCCCAGCGC